AATCGCTACCGTACCCGGCACAAAGATCTCTTGCGAATAACGGTCGAGGATTCCTCGACCATGGCTCTCTACTGTGCGAGAGTAGTGTCGAGAGTGAATGAATGCGCGGAGAGCACAGACGGCTCGCGGTGGCGAGAGTGAGCATCCGCGTGGGAGAGCGTGAAAGAAATCCTCGACGAGCCGTTGTCGTTTCCTCAAGCGATTTTTGCCAGCCCTCACTTGCTTAATGGATGCCATTCACATTTTTCAGTGCGATCTCCGACGCGGTATCAAATACCACTTCAAAAATGTTCTAGCGAGGGTCACAATTCAAATGCTTATCAACAGTGGTCCTCACTTTCCAGCTTCAGATGCCACTCACCCTTCTGGTCCCACACCATATCAGTACCATGGCACCTCACTCCCCACCCCCCCCCCTCCTCTTTCCGTCCTTACAGACAATATGGGCCTGTTCCTAAGGCCACTGAGCACCACTGGGTCTATGACCACTGTGTGGTCTATGACCTAGTCACCATTTTCTCATAACGTGGAAGTTGCGGCTTTTTTCATAGCATTGCACGAATCAATGGAGATACACCACTGCCACTAGTATAAGGAAGTAAACTCTCATGGTAACGCCATGTCACGTCCACGACATGCCTCTGTGGTCGCCGAGCTGCCTCGGGGTGGAAATAGATCGTACTGCTCCGGGTTTAGTCCCAATTCAAGGACCTCTGTACCCGTGCTCCAGTGCAGCGTGGTTACGGTGGAACTTAGGCAACAATACTGATAAATGATCCTTGAACCCCGAAAGGCCTGACGCGCGCGTCTCTAGCGCGCAAACATCTCAAAGACGGTCAGTCAGTTATTTTGCCCCGCGAAGTTGGACCTAGTACCACCCACATTTCCGTCGTAATTTTTGCTGCACACTAGGACATTAAATTGGCGCATTAGTCGGAAAAAAATGAAACGACGCTAATTGAGGTGTCGATACAGAATTGATTTCATTGGACTAGCCACTGCAAGCCTAATTACTCCAAATATGCGAATAGCAATGGTCACTTCAAACGAACCAATTCCCAACACTTTTTACACTCAAACTTCTCTTTAAAGTCAAGAGATCCAGCACAATGACTGGAGATTTCCTTTCCTCTTGGCAGAAAAAGTGTAAAGGGCCGAAAGTCTCAGCCCACGCAGATCGAAACCTTCTATAGAAAAGATTTCAAACCTACTAAGTGATTCATCAATTCATCAACGACTAATGAATACTTCATTGTGATAATGAGCCAGTGAATTGCCACTGAACAGGACGATTGTATGAAAAGATGTCCTAACAGATAGGCAGGGCTCGTAACTTACAGCAAAAAGAGAAGCAAACAAAAAGCGGTGCTAAGTGAGTTAGGGGAGGGGGACCACGCGGGGGCGCGGCGTCTGTCAAACGTAATGGGATGAAGCCTGAGCCTAGTAAAAGGGGCTCAAATGTGCCAAAAGTCAATCACAAATCATAATGTTCACAGCTTACCCACTCCTTCCTAGAGCTCAGGCTTAGTCCCATCGCGCTTGAAAATGGAGTCGCCGAGTGATCCTTCTCCCCACCCCTCCCCCCAACTCACTTAGCACTCAAAAAGCATTACTGATTGACACTAGATTGACAACACATCGATAATTGCTCATTAATATCAAGATACCGAAGAAGAACAAAAGAGTATACAAAACAACAGAACAGAAAAACAAGACTTCGATTATCAAAATTTCAACCGACATATGTGAATACAGGGGCAAAATAAAGGTTCCCCTTTTATGTAATCTGTATCGGAAAAGTCACAGAAAAAAATTAAACACATCTCCTATTGTTCTCCGATCGACGACGAGGCCGACGCACGCGTGGAGTTCGGCCATGGACCCCGCATACGCTTCTTCGAAATAACCTATGAAAGCAAGAATTTCCATTCGGGGTTTTTTTTAGATTTCAAGATTTTGTAGGTGGAAGAACAACAAAAGGTACAGAGGACTATTATTCACCCCGGAGGAGCGGCTTCCAGAAGGTTGGGCAGAGCCGTTTTTCAAAACGTTCTTTTACTGTATATAGGGGAAGATACGGAGCCACGGAGCCAATGGTTAATTTCTCCTCCAGTCCTTGAGTACAAGAAAAGGGGTTCTGGTTCAATTCCTCCTGTGACAACTTGCTGGTTTCGAATTCAACGGTTTCAAAGTTGGAGCAGAAGTGGAGTTACGAACAAATGAATGCCATTATGCCGCGTGCCGCACAAATTACGGAGACAACGCAATGAGCAGTACAATTGAAACTGATGCCTCACAGATGGGCCTGTTTTTCCTTCTGTCCCCGTCTGGTACTCGCGTTGGTGTAGAATAGCTCATGCTTACCCTTGCAACGCGAACCAAAATCATATGTAGCGTGGCCAGCGGCTTGAACTGGATACTACGACACCGTCCTCGCAATCAATTGACACGACGTTGAGGGATTTTTTGGCGAAGGCGAATTATTCATCGTTCTGGAGTGTATACCGAGCCACTTATTCACTATCAATAGATGTTCCAAATCGGTACAGGGGACAAGGAGCTGAATGCAGTCATTCTGGATGAAAGAAGGGCGTGTTTCTGTGGCGACCACGAAACATTCTAAGGATTGTGTGCGATAGAATTTGCAGGTAGTTGACGCGCTGGTTTCACTGGATGTCACGAGAGATAGGAATCAGGGGGCTCTTTTGGACTTATCAGAGCCCATTGCTATCCTGAGTTTATTTTCACTTTGAAAATCGTTGCTGGGCCTTCCATCAAGTAGGAGCTTCCCGTTTACGAGGCAAGGGTGGTTCAGTACTAGTGCAGCATTGATGCAGAACCGATTTTTTCGACTTTGTCGGCTAAACGGTGGTAGAACAGCATTTCAGATCTGAGCTCGATAGGGTACGCTGTCGGATCCGTTCTAGAAGCTGAGGCTTGCATAAAACACATTATGTCTAGGGATTCGTTGAAGAAACCGCTCTAAAATGAGCTTGACGAGTCCTACTCGCCACATTGCGTGCCACAGTCGATGGTTCCTCGATGTTTCTGAGGACCCGTATAAACACAAACCAAGGAATTTCAAAAATTGCATGGATGTCGACGATTCAGAATGGGACTGTGCACGTCACTGCATTTTTGTTTTCAAAGAATTGCACCTTGCTCATCCTAGGCAACTCGAAGTCGCTGTCTCCGTAATTTTGGCGCACCCTGTATATAATTAGGGCGTCCATGACCACCATCAACCCAGGAAATGCAAAAATTTGTCACCAAGAGGAATCGAACTAGGGACCCCTTTTCTGGTATTCAGAGGGCCGTTCAGGAAAAATTAAACATGGTTCTGTGGTTCCCGCATCTGCCCCTATATCATGCAAAAGACCGTTTTCAAAAAGCTTGGCACGCCCTGAAAGACCTTCCTGGTTAGAACACCGCTGAAACACAGACAGCATCTTAACCACATCACCGATCGAACATATTTACTTCGTCTTTCGAGTCTGATAATAGTCACAAAATCAGCAATCAGCAAGAGTGATCATCAGAGCAAGCGAAATGAAAAGTGTAGCCAGTACAAGGACGCGCAGCACCCTCGACTTGCATTCAGAATCATCGGCGTATTTCAATGGTATTTTTCAAAAAAGAAAGCAAAAAAGGGCGGAAGTGGTGTAGTGGCAAGTGGCACGCTTACCACGCGAGCGGTCCGGGGATCAAATCCTGGGTCGTGAGTCGCCCGGGCCAACCAAGCCTTCCATCCCTCCGGGGTCGGTTAATTGGTACCAGACTTGTCTGGGAGGATAAAAACACTGACTTGTACATCGGCTGGCCCCCGCAAGTCATTGTATAGGCCACATCGCATTCAAACGCCACTACGAATGTACAAATGGAAGTAGAATGCGTGCCGCATCCCAAAAAGGGATTGATCAACGGCAAATATTTTTTTTATATGCAAACATTTGGAATTCACCCCTACTTAAGCAGCAAAATTTCAAGGTGCCTTGTTTCCCGTCCGCGAGAGAGAGAAAGGGCGCGGACTCGCCATTGTCCACCACCTCTTCATGTCGGTAATGGCCCATGCATCGATGAGGACACAAAAATTATGCACTATTTACCCTTTACTGCCCCACTCCTCGAGAACTGAGCCGGATTTTGATCGAAATTCGTCCATGACTGTGGATTTGGCTAGAAACTTGTTTCAGGGGTAATTTCGACCCGTAGAACACGAATATCACACCGGTTTAGCGCGAAAACGCTTGGCGCCCGCGCCACAGGCGCCGGCGCTATCACAACAGTTGCGCGGGCGCCTCGTAGCGCAGGCTACAGGCTCACTCGCAACGAACTGATATTCATGTTCTACGGGTCAAAGTACCTCTGAAGACAAGTTTCCAGCGAATTTGGTGATCCGAGATGTTCTGGCGCCTTGCTTGCGCCGGATGCTTCTGGCGCAAGCGCCAGGGTACTAGCGGCAAATGAATATGTTGAATTACCCCTGAGGGAAGTTTCTAGACGATCACACGTCAATGGACAATTTCGATAAAACCCGGCTTCAGTTCTCGGGGAGTGGGGCAGCAGAGGGTTAATAGTGACAAAATATATAAATGACACCATAGCTAATACGGAGGGCGGTACTGACACCCTTCCAAGGCGTAGAGGTGTGGTCGTGCAAATTTTGAACCTTGGGCGCAACGTCTTGCCAAGGGGGTATCGTGATGTTACTAATGAACCCACACATGCCAATATGCATGGATAAGCTCGTACTGAATTTAACAGGACCTACTCTTGTAAGTCATGAAGACTCGCTGCGAGCTCCTCACATGCCGATCACTCAACTAATTCGGGATTTGGCGTCAAACAAATCTCTGGATAGAGACCAGTGCGAAGTTCTCTTATTGGAAATACTGTATAGCGAACAGCTACTTCTCATCGACCCATAACTTCAATATGTTCCAGGCGGAAGTTCCAGGTACAGGGCCGAGATCTTCAGAAGTAGAAAAATCAACCCACTTCATTTCCTTGAATGCGCTTGCGTAAAACACTTCGAGATTAGCCAACCGGAGCACATTAAATTTGTACAGAGCGCCGTCAAGAATAGGGAAAGTCTGATAAAGAAAATATTTGTCAACAAATCCAGTAGTAATATTTGTTCTAAGCTCACCTGGTTAGCCACTTCAAGCCTTTTTCCTATTCAAATTAATCATTCAATAAAATTAAAACGGCGTGTGCATGCGTTTCTCAGCCTTGCGGCACATCGAGATGGAATCCTGGGATATGGCCCATAAACTATGGGAGTATGTAATTAATAACCAGAATGGAGATACCCACGGAAAAATGTAGGCGGATACGATCTTCAACATATTACAGTGGGTTCCTCATAGGAACCCCCCCCGCGCCCCGAAAAAATAGCAGCTGTAAAGCAGACATCTTTATAAAAAAAGTGCAATCACAAATACCAGGTTATCCAATTAGTTTTCCCCTTTAAAACGGAATTTTCTAATTTTGGAGCAAGTGCAAAATCATAAGACACCCTCCTTCAGAACCCTAAAAACACAGGGATACTCCTGAAACTTATTGCTCTAGTATTCCAAAAGAAACCACTCAACAGAATTGCTCTATCCATACATGAACAAACGCTCCCGCAAATTTTATACATTTTTAAATCAAAATGAAGCTCAGAGGAATCCGTTGCTTGAAGTTTGAAAACGTGTTGATTTTGTGATATTTTCGCAGCCATTACAAAGGTCATCCAAGTGAGCCTTGCCAATTCAGACGCCACTCTACCATGTGACACATAACCCTTGGAGCCCATGACAGGACCCATATTGTGGATGCAGACGGTGACAGTAGACCTTTCAGCCTACATTACCGTGAACAGATATCTGTTTTCCTCCCGTTCCATCCTTTTTAGTTCAAAGGTTTTATTCTGACGTATACGTAAGCTTTCTATCAAGGCGCCCTAATAAGTTCCTAAAAAATCCTTGCTCAACTCCCACGCGGCAAAAATTAAAATGCACAGGTCTCCAACGATGTTAAGCTAGTTTGCACCACTGGCTCATTGAGACGGGCTTCGCAGCAAGGTGCGCTACTTGTCAAAAGGGTCGACCTGTCACGCGAGATTATGGAGATAGAGTAGCAGTACGAATTCGCGGCTTCTCTGTGCCTACGTGGAAACTCATTCAGCTGCAAAAAGCTTCTGGCTTTGGCAGAGCGCTTAAGGTTTAGTGCATCCTAATCTTGAGGAAAGTCTTACACGAAACATTTCGTTCGAAGAAATATCGGTGGTCCTAATTTCCTCTACTAGGTGAAGGAACACATCTGTAGCAATGAATCCGGGGTTTCAGTATGAAAGGACAAATATATAATCTTGATTGGAATTTGCTTCAACAAGCTCAGCCTGGCCAGTCGTCTTTGAAATTTCTTGGTTCCTAGGCTTGCAGCTCAGAACGGCTAACGGGATGGCAGCGGCTTTAGGGGACTCCCGCTATTGTCCATATCGATGATGTATACAATGGTTTCGACTTTCTTATCGGGATCTGTCGTAGATGCTGAAAGAACGCATAGGTGTGTTCATGTCTTACGAGATTCTATGACGCGTTGGCATGTATGCCGAATCCTTCTGGAAGTATCAGTTGTTTGTCTTGGGGCTCTCCTATTTCTATTCGTCGGAAGAGTATGGAGTACGAGCGGCGCTTTTTCTTAATTGAATTTCTTTATTCCAAAAATGGCTTCCACGGTCATGATGGAGCCATCAGGCACGTGTCAAAGCAACGTCTGGCATTCAGTCGCGGAGTGGAGGGGAGGAGCTCAAACTGTAACTCTAGTAGAGTTGCCATACACCAATTAAGGACGATTTCACGCTGAAAGGCAACCCATTTCAAATTAAGTTAGCGATGGTGAGTGGTACACTAAAGAAGGAAAAAACCATGAGAAACGGCCCAGAACCGAGAAATGGGACCCTTCCTTGCCCGTTGATTTGAGCATTGATGCGACTATCATCGCTGTGCCCTCTTCAACGCTACGCTCTCTCACCTATCTAATCACTCAGTATAACGGCACCACCACAACCACGCCCAAACCCCACCCACGACCTGCGGCGAGTGATCAGATGATCGGTGGGCGTGCACTGACCAGCCGCGGCGGGATTAAACCTTAATAGGTCAACGAGGTCAACTCCTCCTGTGCAAATTGTGCTTCAGTTCGCACACTTAGGAGCTCCGCGGGTCCCTCAACCAGGTGAATTCTTCCTAATTCGATTTTCCCTCTGATCGTGAATTCGTCCTTTAAGTACTTATCGTTGCTGGTTAGATAAAAAATTTCAACAGTGAGGAGAATTCTGAGGGGTGTCCTATGATTTTGCACCGGCTCCAAAATCAAAAAAAAAAAATGTCTAAAAATACGGAAAACTAATCGGATAACTGGTAACTTGTGGGTATAGGTTTTTTATGAAGGCGGTTCTGATTTTACAGGTTGCGATTAACGACGTCTAGAAGCCGAGATATTCATATTTTTTGGGGGTGTCCTATGATTTTGCAACGCACTGTATTATTATAATATTAGGCATGATTGGTACTCGTTTTCAATTATGCAGCAAAATTCTTGTCATTTATTGCAGCAAAATTCTTGAAAAACAAATTATGAAACTGTAAAAAATTCGATATAGGTCCCACCTTGGTCTACCTATACAAGTACCTAGCTCACTTGAAGGTCGCCTTCCGTGGCAATTACGTCATTTATGGGGTTAGAGCGAATTTATTTATGGGGTAGAGCGAATCAAATCCGCCGTTTTTTTCAGGCTCATGGCTCTTTCATTTTTTGCTGATTATTATCGAAGAAAATGATGCAGTCTTAACTCAGTGCTTCTGCATCTGTTCTCGGAATCAATGAGGACTGGGATGAAGGCACGGTTGCAGAGAACACTATTCGAGAGCGTTTGTTGATCGGATCAACTTGTTGATCGATTTGCCATTGGCCAATAAGGGATTACCTCTACCGTCATAAGACTGCTGGCCTCGTAGACGAAGTAAGCAAACCAGCCCTTTTGGCGTTTCTGCTGGGGCCGTATGCTGAATGTTGGGGAGGGGATGGGGTCCCCGACGGTCGACGGACTACTTCAACTCGGTCCTTAAAACCGCCTCAATTTGATGCTTACCTCAGGACTAAGCCTTAAAGAGAGGACGGACCTGCGAGAGAGCGCAGGTCCGTCCTCTCTCCAAGGCTTAGTCCTGGGGTAAGCAAACCAGCCCTTTTGGCGGAGCTGCTGGACCAGCTGCACCACTTCGTCATCACTCTCCTACCGTACCGACCGAGTTGAAGTAGTCCGTCGACCTCGGGGACCCCATCCCCTCCCCAACATTCAGCATACGGCCCCAGCAGAAACGCCAAAAGGGCTGGTTTGCTTACCTCCTCGTAGACAACTTCTTTACCTAGAGCATTTTGCGTTGACATGTGGTGGCAGCCATCCATCCTCGCATTCCAGGCAGCGCCAGCCTTCCATTCGGTCGTTCCTCTCCTCATCGAGACATCCCTCACATTCGCAGCTGATGTTGAATCTTTTCTAAATAGATATCACGAATATATAAGCTAACTTTCAAAGGCAAAAAAGGAACAAATTTACCGTCAAGATTTCGCGACGCATTTTTCTGGGTTCGAGAGGGAGTGTGTATGAACGCCTAGCTTCATTCAGAGAATGCGGTACATGCGACAAATCAGTTGGTACCATGATTGCAGTAGTACCCCTGGAGCATACTTATTAGATCTCAACAGAACTCAAATACATATGTGCAAAGTGC